TTGAACTCAGATGCCGTGATATAAAATGTGGACAACCCCACTGGATGTTTAGCCACTAAACCAAACACTTACCCCTCAAATTTATTTTCTATGAATTTTTTGAAGTTCCTTTATATCACATCAAGAATGTTCAATGAGTTATTCTCTAATAATGCAAAATCAGGTACTATGTGATACAGCAATAAAATGTAATGTTTGGAGTTACTTCTAGTAGTGGGATCCAATTGTGTCTCTAGGAATCAATATATTTTCTGGGGAAATTATTTCCATTCTCAGTCTCCATCCAGGAAACAACCCCTATTATTAAAAGTGTCCCTTCCCCCACTGATAGATTGTGAGAGGGATATGTGACCCAACTGGAATCCTAAAGACACAACGGGATTTGGCAGTGATTTTGTGAGAGCCCCCACATGGGTAGGGGCACTAGCGTCTGGAAGGCTGTAACTCCGGATTTGCTGGAAGGAATGCTGCTCCCACAGGAAACCTGAAAATAAAAAAGCATCAAAGAAGAGGACTCAGAATGAGCCCCTGAATCCACTGTTCCACCCAATTGCAACCTTAATCCCTGACTTTTATCCATGATGTTCATCAACATATTTCATTTTGTTGAAGCCAGACAAGTTGCTTCAAGTAATTCCTCACGATGCAAGAAGATTCTCCATTCCTGGTAATTCTTCTGTACTGTCCCACTAAACATATACACACTTCTCTGGGCTTCAGTTCCTCCTTCTAGAAAAGGAATAAGCAGCATCAACTCTAAAGAGTTGTAAAGATTACATAATGAATATGCACATAATGTGCCTTCACAATGCCAAGGTTAAAGAGACATCACAGAACTTCATTTTTATAAATGACATTATATCTCAGGCTAACCCCTGCTGTTTAATGTTTGTGTCCCTCCCAAATGCATATGTTGGAGCCTAAGATGCAGTGTGATGGTATTTAGAGATGGAAGCTAACTATGTCATGAGGACGCAGCCCTCACGCATGGGTTACTAAGGGCTTTTATCTTTCAGCTTTTGATCAGCGAGGACACAGTCATCCCCTTCTGTCATCTCAGGAAAGGGCAAGACAGCCCACACCCAACACTGAATGCTGATGCCCTGATCCTGGACTACCCAGCTTCCAGACATGTGTGAAATTAACTGCTATTATCATAAATTATCCATTGTTGTACTTCTGTTAAAGCAGTACAAACGGGTGAAGGCCCCTCCCACTTACTAGGATTGGAAGACTTCCTGGAATGTTGGTCATAATGGAGGGTTCTTTTATTCTTCAGTGGTGATCTGTGAACAACTTTATGGGAAGGGTGGGGATTGTAACGTAACCGTAAAGCTGCCATGTGCGATGCCCACATCCATATCAAAGTGCCTGGTTTGAGTTCTGGCTTCTCAGCTCTAATCCAGTTTCTGGCTATTGTAGATTCCGGGAGGCAGCAGGTGACATCTCAAGTGCTTGAATTCCTGCCATGTGGACTCAGACAGAATCTTGGGCTCTTGGCTTCAGCCTGGCCCAGCCCAGGCTGTTGTGGACATTTGGAGCATGACCCAGTGTGGGGAAGCTCTCTCTCTCTCTCTTTCTCTGTTTCTCTGTCACTCCACTTTTCAAAAACTGCTCAAGGCCGGCGCCGCGGCTCAATAGGCTAATCCTCCGCCTTGTGGCGCCGGCACACCGGGTTCTAGTCCCGGTCGGGGTGCCAGATTCTGTCCCGGTTGCCCCTCTTCCAGGCCAGCTCTCTGCTGTGGCCAGGGAGTGCAGTGGAGGATGGCCCAAGTGCTTGGGCCCTGCACCCCATGGGAGACCAGGAGAAGCACCTGGCTACTGCGTTCGGATCAGCGCAGTGCGCCGGCCGCAGTGCGCGGCAGCCATTGGAGGGCAAACCAAAGGCAAAGGAAGACCTTTCTCTCTGTCTCTCTCTCTCACTGTCCACTCTGCCTTTAAAAAAAAAAAACTGCTCAAGAGACATCTCGGTCTTCATTAAACCACGTTTGCCACTGGGTCATTCACTATTCGAGGCCATATGATCTGTTCAAAGGCAGGTGGCTCCATAGTCCTCTGTCTTTTAGGGAATCTGGCAATGTTGATGTAGCACCTAAAGCTGTGGTGTTTGATGTGCAATCTATGTCCCCAGCAAACACATGTACTCACTCCCTCAGAAGTCCTGCTGCCTCCTGGAAACACTTCCATGCAGGAGACTGGTGCTTGCAGGTCCCTCTGCCACATGTCCTCAAGTCCCTGGAGCCATGGCAAACTGTGGGCAACTCCTCTTTCAGCTTAGTGGCTCCCATTTCCAGATGCTACTCATCCTTCTAAGAAACTCTCAACTAATTCACCACCCACACAAGAGCCTAGATGGGGTTTCATAACAGATGGTCTTGCAACTTCATTTTGGGCTTCGGAGATGCAGAAAAATCATTAACAACCTGGATGGCCCGCCTCTGAGAGGGCTCTGTGGACTCCCAGTAATTCCTACCTCCTGGCATTTAAGCCCTTGAGTGTGGGTTGAACTAGTGACTCACTTCTAACAAACAGAATATGCACAAGTGATAAAATGTCACTTCCAAAATTAACGTGTAAAACACTGGTGTCTCTGTCTTGTTTACTTTCTCCCTCTTTCCCATTCCCTGGTCTCAGGGAAGACAGCTGCCATGCTGTGAGCTCCCCAACAGAGTATTCCATGTGGCAGGGAACTGATATCCAGGACAACAGCCAGGCAGGACCCGAGCCTTGCCAAAAGCCACGTGAGTAGTGTGGAGGCAGATGGCTGTTCCCCGGGCTATGCTTTGAGAGGCTGGAACTGCAGCCAAACCTGGAGTTCAGCCTTGTCAGAGACTTTCGCCAGCAAAGCAGCTGATGCCTGACTCAGAACTATGAGATAACCATTTCTTGTCCTAAGCCACTGAAATTCAGAATAATTCATCATGTGGCAACAGATCATGAGCACGCTGCCTTCAAGATCAGCAGCCCAGAATTTCCTTGCAAAGAGGGTGGAAGTATCTCTGCCTCCTTTTTGAAAACTCTTCTGGCAGGCAGCAGGAAACAGCAGTACACAGCTTGGTAAATTGCCCTGTGACAAACAAGAACTACCCATGGCAATGTAAGGAGATCAATCAGGAATTCCTACAGCCGGGAATTACCACCTCCAATCCTTGTCAGTTCAAACTCTGCCCACATTGAAGAAGCTGGCCCCCTAGGTTGTATGATAATGAGCAAGTTCTCAAGTTCCTCCAGCAAAAGAAAGGAACAGAACTGGATCCTCAGAAGGGAGGGAGGCAGGCAGATGTCCCTAACATGGCCCTACTGAAATGCAAACCAGTCTTTAAAAAAAAAAAAAAGATTTATTTGAAAGGCAAAGTTATAGAGAGGCAGAGGCAGGGAGAGAAAGGTCTTCCATCCACTGTCTCACTCCCCAAATGGCTGAAACGGCTAGAGCTAAGCTGATCTGAAGTCAGGAGCCAGGAACCAGGAGTTTTTCTGGGTCTCCCACGAAGGTGCAGAGGTCCAAGGACTTGGGCCATCTTCTACTGCATTCCCAAGCCACAGCAGAGAGCTGGATCGGAAGTGGAGCAGCCAGGACTCAAATCGGCACTCATATGGGATGCCGGCACTATAAGCAGCACCTTTACCCGCTACACCACAGCACCGACCCCTCAAACCAGTCTCTTGACTCCAAGAAAACTGCATGTTCATTTTAGTCTTAGCTTCCTGGGCTACTGGAATCTCTAGATGAAAGTCCTAGAACTTCCCCTTCTATCACGGGACCTGCTCTAAACACGGAAATGTTAGGGTAGTTCTCAGAATTGAAGCCTGCCATGGAGGCTGCCCCCAAGACATGAGTTTCTTAGACAATACCTGCTACTAGAGAGTAACTTGTGCTCCAAGAAACTGGGCTCTGGGGAGAGTCTGTGCTGTATGTCACCCCCAAGTGTTAACTCATTCATGTGTATTTGTTACCATGAGTTTACATGTGGGGCATTAGGCTTGATGGCGTATAACCCGGCAGAGTTTCATTGCTTTTGTGTTCAGTGTCAGCAATACCTTTGGCTAAGGCACAACTTTGCACATCAGGGTCTGGGCCATTACCACAAGGTGAGCCCTGGGTGTCGGCATGAAGCTTTTGAAGCTGTTTTCTAGACACAAAATGTCCTCATTCAGCCAGTGAATTTTCCTACTTTTGTGAGTCCTGCTTTTGCCCCAAATAGTCAAGAACTGGGGGCAGGGAGGGAAGCAGAGTGCTGAAGGGCAGCAAGACTGAGCGTCTCTTCTGGACACATCTCCTCCCCAGTCCAGGGAGTGAGGAAATCCTGTGACCATGGAGACAAGCAGAGAAAAAGCATCCAGCAAGAACATCTTAGGGGGCTCAAGGCCAGTCTCTAAAGTTTTATTTTAATTAATTTTATGTAAAAGGTATCCTTTTTTTTAAAGTTTATTTATTTTTTTCTTTCTTTCTTTTTTAAAATTTATTTGACAGGTAGAGTTATAGACACAGAGAGAGACAGAGAGAAAGGTCTTCCTTCTGCTGGTTCACTCCCCAAATGGCCGCTACGGCCGGTGCTGTGCAGATCCGAAGCCAGGGGCCAGGTGCTTCTTCCCGGTGTCTCATGCGGGTGCAGAGGTCCAAGCTCTTGGGCCATCCTCCACTGCCCTCCCGGGCCACAGCAGAGAGCTGGACTGGAAGAGGAGCAGCCAGGACTAGAACCCAGCGCCCATATGGGATGCCGGCACTGTAGGCAGAGGATTAACCAAGTGAGCCATGGTGCCGGGGCCCCAAAAGTCTATTTATTTTCATTTAATTGAAAGACAGTGCAAGGGTACAGGGAGGGAGGTTGAGAGGGAGAGTGAGAGGGAGAGGGGGAGGGGAGAAAAAGGGGGAGGGGAGAAAGAGAGAGAGAGAGAGAGAATCTTTCACTGGTTCATTCTCCAAATGCCCCCAACAGCCACAGCTGGGTCTAAGCCTAGTTGAAGCCAGGAGCCCAAAATTCTACCCAGGTCTCCATATGGGTGGCAGGGACCCAAGCACTGTAGCCATCATCTGCTATTCCCAGGGTGCACTTTAGCAGGAAGTTGGATTGGAAGCAGAGTAGCCAGGACTTGAACCAGGCACTTTGATATACAAAGTGCATCCCACGCAGCAGCTTAGCCCCCGTGCCATAACACCCATCCCTCCGAGGTCTTCTACACTTGCACCCCTCACTTGGTGAACCTCAGTAAGTGAGGAAAAAAATCACCACACTGGAGTCACATCTCCTGAGATCTCTCATCCTGGCTTTTCTACCTACTATGTGTGTGACTTCAGTTTGGAAGAATCAAATCAAACAATGAGGAGACCTCCAGTTTCTGGTCAGGCTTACAAGGAGTTTGGAGTTGTCCTCTCCTGTCCACCAACAAGAAAAAAGCCCAAACACACTGAAAACCAAGAGCTCCTCTATCAGTCAGACAGCTGAGGGCAAGCAGCAAAGAGTTGCCCTTCAGACTGAAGAGCCAGGAGGGCAGAGAGAATCTCAGCACGCTGGGCAGAGCCCTGGAGGAGAAACCAGCCAGGGGAGCAGCATGGGCTTAGGAAAACCTGACCTGTCACCAACAAGCTGCTGCAGGCTCAGAGCAGACAAATCGGAGAGGTCAGAACTGTATTGCAGTTTTACCTCCATGTACCCTGATAGATTCTGACCTGCAGCATCAGAAAAAAGTTTCCACTGGGTGGCAAGCAGTGGCCATTTGTAAATATGCTCAGAGCCTTCTGCTCTTGTTAACAGTGCCTGCCCTCAATAGAAACTAGAGCCTTGTTGGGACCAGGGTTGAGGTGCAGGAGGTCAAGCCACCACTTGAGAAGCCTGTACCCCATCTCGGAGTGCCTGGGATGGAGTCCCACCTCCACATTCCCATCCAGCTTCTTGCTAAGGCGCCTGGCAGCCTGCAGATGATTGTTCAAGTACTTGAGTCTTGGCCAGCCATGTGGGAGACCCCTGGCTTCAGCCAGGCCCATACCTGGCTATTGCAGGCATTTGGGGAGTGAATCAGAAGATTGGCAAATCTGTATCTCCTGCTTCTGTTGCTCTGCCTTTCAAATAAATAAATGACACTTACAAATACATAACGAAACTAGAGTCTTATTGCTCTAGGGGAAGGAAAACATCTAACTCCAGCCTGCTGTGGCCTTCCTGGCTCATCTCAGGAGGGAGGGGTTGAGAGGCACTTGTGAGTGTCACAGTCCTGCAGTAGCTCACAAAAGGCTGGAACCTATCATAGGAAAATAGAAGGCTTCTCCTTCTCCACAGCTTGCCACCACATCCACAGGGCTCCCGTACAATGACTGAGGAATACAAATGAACTATTTAATACGTCTTTACAGAATATTTAATCAGGGAGGCAGCATTGTGGTGTTGTGGGTAAAGTTGCTGCCTGTGACGCCAGCATCCCATATGGGCACTGGTTTGAGTCCCAGCTGCTCCATTTCTTACCCGAGCTCCCTGCTAATAGCCTGGGACAGGCGATGGAGGATGGCCCAAGTGCTTGAGCCCCTGCTACCTGCGTGAGAGACTTGGATGAAGTTTCTGGCTCCTGACTTCTGCCTGGCCTAGCCCCAGCCATTGTGGCTGTCTGGGCAGTGAACCAGCAGATGGAAGCTCATTCTCACTCTCTCTATCTCTCTCTCTCTCTCTCTCTTCCCCTCCAGCTCTGACCTTCAAATAAATAAAACAGAAATCTTAAAAAAAAAACCTTTAAAAAAGTATATTTGAGTAGTCTCTAGGGAGGCCCCAAAACAACAGGGATGTAGAAACAAAAGCAGCAGAAGAAAGTTTAACTTCAGACACCATAGCTATAGCAAACAGAAAATACAACCTAACACCCAGCCAGATAAACTGTAGCACTGCATACCAGAAAGCCAATTTACCACAGTTCCTTTCACCCAGGACATCATGACTGGCCTCCAACCAAACATTACACGTTGTACTAAAAGACAAAATAAAATAATGTATGTGTGGTGTTTTTGAATAGGTTATTAAAAGCAGAGATTAATCTTCCCAGATTCCAGGCTTTGTTTGCTCTCTAAGCTTGCTCACTTGATAAGAAGTAAGGGTTACTTTCCTGGAACCATAATCAGAAGGTAGGACAGGTGCACAGCTTGGGGGAACAGGATTAGTCATGCTTTAACATCTCCACCCCCCTAAATATAAAGGACAGGTACCATATGTCAGATGGCTCCACATTTATTACATCACATGCTGCGTTTGTGATGTGAGGTTCCTTCTGCTTCTTACCTGCTAAAGAGGAAGGCCTCTTCACCCGCAGTTTTGGAAAACAGGTAACAATCTGGAATAGGCTCAAATAAATTTCTCAGTTCACAAATAAAATAACTAACCAACAATTAAAATTATAGTTCACATTGAGGATAGTGTTTCTTTCTCTCTTATTTTTCTAAAAAAGATTTATTTCATTTTATGTGAAAGCGAAGTGACAGAGAGGGAGAGAAAGAGAAAGAGATCTTCCACTCACTGATTTACTTCCCAAACGGCTGCTGAAATGACTGGCGGCAGGCCAGGCTGACGCCAGGAGCTGCAAACTCCATCCAGGCCTCCTGCAAGGAGGGCCATCATCCACTGTTTTCCCAAGCACATTGGCAGGGAGCTGCATCAGAAGCAGAGCAGTTGGGACTTGAACTGACATTCCAATATGGGATACTGGTGACACAAACAGCAGTGTAACCTGCTCTGCCACAACTCTGGCCCCCTTTCTCTTTTAAATATAGATGATTTCTTAGAGATTATATACAGTTTAATAAATATAGAGATATATATTTAGGAAAACATGTACAATTATTAAAGACTATAGTGTAAAGGTCATATGATATGTAGAGATCATAAGGCTGAGATTTTTAGGTTAGATTGCTCTATCATTTCTACTTAAAGGAAGGTCAAAATAGTATCTCTTGGGTCACAGCAGAGAAAAAACAATTTAAAAAATGCTTAACTTAGGTGAATTTTGTGTGATACTTTGATGATAAACATTTCATTCATTGCACTAATACTGTTAAGTCTGCTTAACATGTTTACAATTCTGAGCTAAATTTTCATCATTGTGTGTGAAATACACATCCTAGGAGGCTGTTATTTTGGGTCAGTCTCCTATACTGGACTGGGATGGACAAGACTGAAAATCAAAGGGCCAGGGCTGCTGCTGTGGTGTAGATGCTCCACTTGCTGTGCTGCCATCTCTAATGGGCACAGGGTCGAGTCCCTGTTGCTCCACTTCCCATCCAGCTCTCTGGTAATGCACCTGGGAAAGCAGCTTGGGCCCCTCCAGCCACACGGGAGCACTAGGCTCCTGGCTTCTGACTGGCCCAGCTCTGCCTGTTACAGCTATTTGGGGTGTGCACCAGCAGGTAGAAGATCTCAATCTCTCTCTCCCTCTCTCTCTTTTCCTCTCTCTCTGTATCTTTGCCTTTCAAATAAATAAATCTTAAAAAAAAAAAAAAAAGAGTCCCCGGGGCTGGCACTGTGATGCAGGAGATTAATGCCTAGGCCTGAAGCATCTCATATGGGCACCTGTTCAAGACCCAGCTGCTCCACTTCCGATCCAGCTCTCTGCTATGGCCTGGGAAAGCAGTAGAAGATGGCCCAAGTCGTAGGCCCCTGCACCAGTGTGGGAGAACCGGAAGAAGCTTCTGGCTCCTGGCTTCGGATCAGCACAGCTCCAGCCGTTGTGGCCAATTGGGCCAATTGGGCCAATTGGGCCAATTGGGGAGTGAACCATCAGATGGAAGTCCTCTCTCTCTCTCTCTCTCTCTCTCTCTCTCTGCCTCTCTTCTCTCTGTGTAACTTTTCAAATAAATAAATACATCTTTAAAAAGAAAAAAAGGGTACCCTGTGCTAAAGCTCATGTCACCAGATCAAAACTAATATTTATCTGACCTTCTAAGAAATGAGGAAAGAAAATTAATGGCTAAATTTCCTGAACAGACCAGCTTTGATTGGCAGAATAATGAAGTTCCCTCTACGTTAACCTTTACACAAGGTAACCTGAAGTAACCTAATAATGACCTATTTTTTTCTATGTTCTGTTTCCCTGTTCTGTTTACAAAGAAAGCAACTTGAAAATCACCAATCCACTTTTTGTTGTTCCTGTTTTTTTTTAACCCTTTCTATGTCTACAAAACCAACCTCTCCTATGTAGTCCATCACAAGCCTTACTGTTTCAATAAATGAATTGTTGGCTGATTCTGGAATCAAAAATAAAGCCTATTGGGAAAGGTATTTGGTCTCGTGATTAAGACAGCTGTGTCCCACACTAGCATGCCTGGTTTTGATTCCTAGCTCTGGTTCCAACTTCCTGCCAACATGGACCTTGAGAGGCAAGGTGATGGCTCAAGTGATAGGGTTCCTGCCACCCACATAGGAGTCTGGGAGTCTTCCCCATTTTCAGCTTTGACCTTGCCCAGCCCCAGTGGTTGGAGTCATCTGGGGAGTGAATTACTGTATGGGAGCGTGTTCTCTCTCTCTGCCTCTCAAATAAATAACTAACGGTTTCTTTAAAAGGAAAATAAAGCTAATTAAGCACTTTAAAGTAGTTTTTGTCCTTGGTGCTAAACTAGGTGCTGTGGTATAGATGGGACACATTGGTTTTGGTGCCTAGAAACAGTAGAGGACATTTATGAGGGTACTTCAAAAACTTATGGAAAATACGTATTATGGAAGAACATGCATGAATTTCAGAAAGCTCCTATACCAAAATACATTTATTTTCTAATTCCACCTTTCCATGAACTCTTGAAAGTACTCTTGTGTAAGCACAACAGCCTTAACTGGTGTCACAGGCAGTACTTGTATGATCAAGGGATAGAATAAGTTAGAGGCAGAGCAGTGCACCAGGCGCAGCTCTCCAGTAACTAGGTGTATATGATACAGATATGACCTTGAGAAAGCCTCCCCTTTATTCTCCAGGGGACATCATTCCATTTTCTTCTTCTTCTTTTTTAATCTCCCCCAACCCCTCCCCTGGCCCCCATTTTCTTCTTTTAAGACTTATTTTTAGGGGCTGGCGCTGTGGTGTAGTGGGTAAAGCCGTTACCTGCAATGCCCGCATCCCATTTGGAAGCCGGTTTGAGTCCTGGCTGCTCCACTTCCAATTTAGCTCTCTGCTATGACCTGGGGATGCAGTAGAAGATGGCCCAAGTGATTGGGCCCCTGCACCCATGTGGGAGACCAGGAAGAAGCTCCTGGCTCCTGGCTTCAGATTGGCCCAGCTCTGGCTTTTGCAGCCAATTGGAGAGTGAGCCAGTGGATGGAAGACCTCTCTCTCTCTCTCTCTCTCTCTCTCTCTCTCTCAGTGTAACTCTGACTTTCAAATAAATAAATAAGTCTTTAACAAAACAAGACTTATTTTTATCTATTTGAAAGGCAGAGTCAGGGAGAGGGAGAGAGAGAGAGAGAGTGAGATCTTCTATATGCTGGTTCATTCCCCAAATGACCACAATGGCCAAGGCTCGGCCAGGCCAAAGCCAGAAGCCTGGCACTCCATCTGGGTCCCCCATGTTGGTGGCAGGGGCCCTAGCACTTGGGCTACCTTCTGGTGCTTTCCCAGGCAGATCAACAGTGAGCTGAATGGGAAAGAAAGCAGTGGGTACTTGAATTGGTGCTCTGATATGGGACACTGGTGTCACAGGCAGTGTTTTATTAGCAGTTGCACCACAACACTGGCCCCAAGGACATCATTGCCTTGTATTGAGAATGGAGAGCTGAGGTAGACCTTTGGCTCAGCAGTTAAGTATCTGTTTGGGACACTCACATCCTATATGAGAGTCTTGGCTTCTCTATTTCCCACTCAGCTTCCTACTAATGCACATCCTGAGAACATGGTTCAAGCACTTGGGTCCCTGCTACCCACAGCAGAGATCTGGATTGACTTCTGGGCTCCTGGTTTCAGCCTAGCCCAACCTTGGTTGTTGTGGGGATTTGGGGAGCAATCTAGCTAAGCAGGTCGATCTCTCTCTTTCAAATAAAATGAAAATAATTAAAAATTTAAAAAATAAAATGAGATAGTTATTATATAAAAGGTAGCCAAAGAGTCCTAAAAGAAGAAATGTCTATTAACATAAATAGTGAATCTACTGGAGCAGCTATTAGGATGAAAACCACCTAGGTTGCCAACCATTAACTACTCTGCCATGCCAAGCCCATTGTGCTTTGTTAGGTTGGGATTAGCCCCTTTTCTGGCAAGAATGTGTCCTAAATGGATCAACAGAATCACCTGCTCTTGTCAAAGTGAATAGGTCAGGCCATCTAAAACATATGGGATCAAACACTAACAGGTCTTCATCTCTTAAGACTGGTTCAGGGATCAGCCAAGCAGAATAAAGTGAGGGACATTTTCTGGGAAAGGTGTTTTCTCCTGCCCTCTCTGCAGGGTGTGAAAGCCTGGAAATGCTGTGACTGTTCACAAGAGGAGCCAAGCAGATGCTGGTGGGGAGCAGAAGCAAGACAGAACTAAAACAGAGCCAGAGCTAGAATCACACCCATTCCCATCCCCTCAACCAGGAAGCCAAAGAATTCATGCAGCCAATCCTGGAAGGATAAGTACAATCTGAGTAGGAAACAGGAGATATAGTATTAATGTGGGACAATCAAGAGGCATCTGGCGAATGTTCAATGACAATAATCTTTGCTCCAATTCTTTCTTTTTTTCTTTTCTTTTCTTTTTCTTTTTTTTTTTTTTTGACAGGCAGAGTGGACAGTGAGAGAGAGAGACAGAGAGAAAGGTCTTCCTTTGCCGTTGGTTCACCCTCCAATGACCGCCATGGCGCGCTGCGGCCGGCTCACCACGCTGATCCGATGGCAGGAGCCAGGTGCTTATCCTGGTCTCCCATGGGATGCAGGGCCCAAGCATCTGGGCCATCCTCCACTGCACTCCCTGTCCACAGCAGAGAGCAGGCCTGGAAGAGGGGCAACCGGGATAGAATCTGGCACCCCAACCGGGACTAGAACCCGGTGTGCCGGAGCCACAAGGTGGAGGATTAGCCTAGTGAGCCGTGGCGCTGGCCCTGCTCCAGTTATTTCTAATCTGTTTCCCTTTGCTTACTGAGGCAGAGAATTTGCTTTCATTCAATACAGAGCATCTATATTAGAATGTTTTTTGTTTGTTTTTTAAAGAATTGTTTTTTATTTATTTGAAAGGTAGAGTAAGAGAGAGATCCATCCATTTTCATTCCACTGGTTCACTCCCTAAATGGCCACAGCAGCCAGGTCTGCCCAGGCTGAAGCCAGGAGCCCAGAGCTCCATCCAGGTCTCCCACATGGGTGGCAGGGGCCCAAATACTT